TTTGGATGTTAATAAACATGGAAAGTCTGATTCTAGCTTTAACCCTTATTTGTTGGAGTTATGCGAAAGATAATTGTTGATGCGAAAGCTTATGATTTGAGTAAAGAAGATTCAAGAAATGAATATATTTTGCTCTGATATGATACATATCTACTGAATATACTTTTGCAGGATGGGGAACAAATGAGAAATTGATTATCCAGATTCTGGCTCATAGGAATGCCGCACAACGCAAGTTGATTACGGAAACATATGCTGCAACTTATGGAGAAGATCTTCTGAAAGACTTGGACAGTGAACTTTCAAATGATTTTCAGGTTTTTTCAGAATCTTAAGTGACTTTACAATTGGCTTTTGCTGCAAATGATTGGTTTTTAGATAGCATGATAATTTGCTAACATATGGCTGCATATATGTGTAAAATAATAGCGTGTAGTACTGCTTTGGACGCTGAATCCAGCTGAGCGAGATGCATACTTGGTTAATGAGGCTACAAAGAGGTTGACTGCTAGTAATTGGGTTATAATGGAAGTTGCTTGCACCAGATCCCCATTTGATCTCTTTAGAGCAAGGCAGGCATATCATGCTCGTTATAAGAAATCACTTGAAGAAGATGTTGCATATCACACAACTGGAGACTTCCGTAAGGTAAATCTTGAACTCCCAGAATGTGATAAATTTTAATTTCAATGTTTGTGTTCCCCATGAGAATCCTTTAGGTGTATCTTGAATTCAGATGTACATTGGTATTTCCTACGAGCATTAGGTTGCATAACGTTCCTACCTATATATATAGGATTTTTAGGGGGAGCGAGAAAACTTTGTACTATTCTTCTCCATTATAGTGAAACTGCAGGATGAAGGTATCACAGTGACTTTGAACCACTATAAATCTTTGTGCTTAGTTGTATTCTTGATGATTTTCAATATACTATGGTCGTAGAAGTGGGAATTACTGCTTAATCCACGACACTGTTTAATCTTAGTGCATTAATTTTGCATTGAAGATGAAGTACTGCTCATGCATCATTCCTTATAGGTCCTTCCACATAAACAATGTGTCGGATTCTCGTTTACTCTATGCATCTCTGTATACCTTGTTATGATCTTTCTACTGATAAGAAAGATTGCTAGGTATTTTAATTATGTTCTCTACCAAAACCTCCATGATGAAATAGATGTCTCAAATAAATTCAATTAGTTGTTACTTCACGCGTACTATTTCCAAACAGCTTTTGGTTCCTCTTGTGAGTGCCTTCCGGTATGAAGGAGATGAGGTGAACATGATGTTGGCAAAATCGGAGGCTAAGTTACTCCATGAGAAGATATCTGAGAAGGCTTACAATGATGAAGAGCTTATCAGGATTCTGACGACAAGGAGCAAAGCACAGCTCAATGCAACTCTTAACCAATATAATAATCATTTTGGAAATGCCATCAATAAGGTATCTCTTCTGCTCTGGTGGGAAAGTATTGACAGGAATGTCGTTTTTCCAAAGTCATAAAGTCATAGTTTGTTTAACCACCTCATGTTAGGTATTTTTATTTATGAAATTAGTTTTAAATTTTAGCGTGTCCATTTAACATGCAGAGCTGGATTCATTCTTTAGTGCACAATTTTATCATATATATATATATATATATATATAGGTGGCAG